ATGCACATTAAATTTTGGATCCCTTCTCTGGGATATTTAAAAACACAAGTATTATTAGATAAAACTATGTTTAATTCCAAATTCAGACACCCTCACTGGTCGGCTTATGAATTTTTAACGGCTTTTTCAAGAGCTTGACCTTATCTAGTATAATGATTGGAAAGTTAGTTTTTGATTGATCAACTTTACACACATATTAAGTCCCATACATAAACTTCAATTCTAATAAAGAAGTTATCAATAATGTTGTAGCCGCTATTGTTGACCATATATTATTAAGCATATCGATAACAGTGCTTTCGATTTTTATTGTGAATATAAAAAAGCATATTTAAAAATGTACGTACATTTCAACTGTAACAACGACAAAAAATAAATAATTACTGACGTTCAATTTATGTAAAAGTTTAATTAGCACATGCAAGGTTGCCTGCTTATAATTGCATACGATTTCAGCAACAACAAGTATAATTTTGGATAGCTACTCCATGATATCTATATTTGAAATATATATTCAGTATATCGGGTTGCTTCTTGTGTCAATATACGAGCTAGAAAATCATGTTAAAAATACGAAGATATGTTGTCTTTGTGTGATTGTCACACGAACCAAGTGGTGTGATCATGTCATGTAACTTTTTTTAATTATCTGTCACGTCAATTTTGTGTGCAATTGTAACGTAAAGTTTGTTTGAAAAAATCTTGACATTATTTTGGACAAAGTTGTGTGGATAACTGACGTCAAGTTTGTGTCAACGTGTCACAACCTTAAGCGTGAATGCTTCATGACAAGTTTGTTTGAACTTGTTACAATAAGTTTGTATTAACTTGTCAAATCAAATTGTTATCAAAATGACCCGATAAATTTATGTAAGTTGTCAAGTACGTGTATCATATTCCCCATTACTGTTAAACTCTCCAATGTTTGAATTAAATTAAATGTTTACAACATATCAGCTGCTCGCTACTGTACAGCTTAGACGTTTAAAATTAAAACAAGATCACAGAAAACTTAAAATAAAATGTAGTGTCTACTAATGATAAGTAGCATTTGATTACCGTTTTGTATTGATTGATCAAATTGACCTTTTATCGCTAATTGTTAATTATAAAAAGGCACTATAATCGAAAACATGCCAACATCAAGGTATAGAAATTTAACTATTGCCCTAAATTCAACCTTCAAACAAGCGGCATGGACTTACACCTAAAAGATCATCACGCATTGACTAACCAATTTATATCACCGGCCGTTAAAAGTATGCACCAGAAACCAAAAAGCTAATTTGTATATCACGAATGTCTATAAAGACACAACGACACACTACAGCCTATCAATTTACTGTTGTTCAACAAAAAAAGCGTTTTGTAGGGAAGATAGTTTTCAAAAGATATTTCAAGAATACACAAACTGAGCAAACGCATTTTTTTTTAAATTGCAACATTAAATTCATTGATTGTATATACTAATTATATAACGTACACAATAATACTCAGTGCAAAAATGGACACAACTTAATGTTTTGTCAAATGTGTATAGTTATTTTGTTTTGTCTCTATTAAAAAATTAAAGACAGTAAGTTTTAGTATTTAATATAAAAAAAGATCACTTCCAATTATTGCCATCTCCCACTCTACTTCACTAGCCCCATAGACCGTCAGGTTTGAAAGGGGAACTTTACTTTTTAAAATATGGGGTATGCTACAGATACAGAAAAAAACCTTTTTCAATACTAGAGAGAAAACTATTTTTTCTCTACAGCTTTTTTAAAGTACATCCGCACATGCGCTTCCATTTTTTAAACATTGTGGAAAAAATATGGGTAACTATGACATCGGCGGTCATCTTGAAAAACAAACATATTAGTAGGATTTCCACCACTTTAAAAAGTATTATATTTTAAGCCCATTAAACAATGAATTCAAAATATTTTAACATATTTTGGGGTACTCATCTAGCAATATTAATTGCAGATCTTGAAAATAATTTATTATGAATTTTTAAAGTGGGGTCTGTTAAAAATATTAAATTTAAAGCCCCAAAATTACCTTACCACAATTTTTTTTACCGGCGCCTTCCCCATCAAAATGAATTTATTTTAACGGGGAATAAATGTTTGCAGTAAATATACCAGTATGTCTATTTATATTTTATAATGTGTGCCCACTATTATTTAATTCGTAAATGTTAAAACCAATAAAGAGCTAGTTTTTCCAATATGAAGACTTTTAACTACCACTTACAAATACAAATTAAAATCACGAACATAGAGATTTGACATATTACAGGCTTATTGAAAATAATTCCGTGTAGGCCTACATGTTTAATACGTTTATTTATATTGGTTTGTAAATAAGTTTGGATTCTAAGGCTTCAATCATTTTTAGAATGTTTGGATGTTAACTGTATTCGTTGTGGTACTACATTCAGATATTGTGTTTGATTTAGCACCTCATAATATTGATAAGCATTAACCCAACCCCTCTAATCTTCTAATCTTCTTAAGACAGACCAGGACATTTACCGCAATATTAGTCTACTAAATATATTGACACGTCTCAGTTTTACACCCATCTCTTGTCTCACTTTCGAGTGTCAGCAATACAAGTTGTTATTTCGTATATAGATTTGTGTTGCCTATCGATCCTAACATCCATTGGCGCAAATAAAAAAATAAATGAAATAATGTGAGTCAGATAAATCGATTCGGTAGAGCGTTGGCGATGTAGAATGGTAGTGCGTTTGACTGCTAACCCAAAATTCTCGAGGTTAGAACAGGGCTTATCCAGCTTTGATGTTAGTGAACAAAAGGCGACTTTATGTCGAGGTCCTTGAAACTGATGAACTCTACTTCCTTGCCCCAAGTGTCTTGGGAAAGAACGGAAAAAATTGATGAAAACGATTAAGCTATCAGACTTAGTAACACGATAAACTTATCAGCACTAAAAAATAAACAGGAGAGATTTATATATGTTACTGGTTTTACCATAGAAAGAACACGCTGCAGTCATTATTGGTTACTTTCGAGCCCAGGGGCGGAACTACCATACCGCCAGACCCCGCAATGCGGGGGGGGGGGGGGCGAGGACGTTTAGGGGCCCAAAATCCGACCAAAAAGCAATGACTTTGTATTCCAAAATTACGTTTTTGTGCACCTTAATTATGGTTTTGTAAAAAAATAAATTTACTGTAGTGATGTTCTACAGTAGCTAACACACGCTGTTGCATAAAAGAAAAAAAATCTACATAAGCTTTAGTGTGCAAGATAAACAAACATTTAAACCACTTCCATGACTTATTTCCCTTTTTTAAATAGTCAAATAGAAGTGCCCAGAAACTCCTTTTAATAGTTTTGTACTACGCACATTGAAAAGCAATTACTTTATTTATTTATAATTTTTTATAAAATACATACTAAAGAATGACATAGTATAAAAATGAATTTAAAAAAAAAAGTAATATAAATTTAAAAAAAAAAACATAAAAAGAAACATAACCCGAGAAACCATTACACATACAAAGCTTTCATGTTTCGTATACTTTTGACCGGCTTACACATGGTAAGCTATACAGCCGACATCAAAAGTGACACACAGATTTGCAAAACAGTCTAATGTACTTAAACACATGACGTGTTGTTGTAATTTGTTAGAATTGAAAATAAAAGTATTAAGTATTTTTTAAAACAATGTGTTATTTAAAAACTAGATTAGGCCCGAAATGAGTATCCTACGTTCGTATTTTGTGTTTATATATATATATATAGGGGGCCTCAAAAAACATTTTGCGGGGTGGCCCTTTTTTTCTAGTTCCGCCACTGTTCGAGCCACATTAGTTTTTATTGCTTATGTGCAAAGATTGAAGTCAATAATTGAGAAATATTTGTTTAATGTTTGCTTAAAGATTACTATCTGCCATACATGAGAGTAACAAATCTATTATGTGCAAATAGATGAGAAGACAATCTAGCCATTAAATGTAACAATGTTTGCAGGATTAATTATTTTACGTGAAATACATCTGATCTTTAATTAGTTGAAACTACGCAAGAATAAAATTTGATATATGTTGTTTTGTTCTTGAAATAAGGAAGTTTTTTTTTTAAATCTGTTTTTGTATATTTGGTTGCAAATTACAACAATTTCAAAAATACGTATTTTAAAAGTAATATATGTAACTATGAACATGAAAAAAACCCATTTCAAATGTAATATTTCTTCATGGTTTGAAAAAAAAAATTAGCTAAATGTAACATTAAAGAAATAAATAAAATCTAACCGGAAAAAACCAAGCATCAGTGCAGTATAATGATTCATAATGATATACATTATCATAATACATTTATTTCGTGCATTTAAAAAAAAGTATTATACAGTAAATATCACTTTTCATTTAAGTATTTTATAATAGACAAAATATAAACTATAAACTTATTATTTTATTTTAAAATATTCAATATTTACATTTCATACCCAGTAGCACTATACGTAGATTGAATAAATTAGCGATAATAAGGATAAACTATATATATATATATATATATATATATATATATATATATATATATATATATATATAAATTGTATTTTAATTACCAATAATACTTGCAAAAACTCGATAAACATGAACATACACTTTTAAATTGATATAATTTTTAAAACTTTTGTTTTAATATACAAAATGCATTTCAAAACAAAGTTATACCATGTAATAGCAAAAACCTAAAAAAATTATTAACTATTGTTCACACATAATTAGCATGTAAGATCATTATGATTATTTTACAGGAGTTACAAAATAGATTACATATATATGTGTGTACCCTGTGTCTGTATTTGTATAATATTTGTATTCTTTTATATAATTTTACAAACCCCTAGTGTGCATATTATGTTGATACTTAAACTGTTATTTTAACATGTTTATAACTAAAATAGAAAAAAATTATTACATTTGGTATTTAAAGTTTTTGAAATTATTATATTTCCTTGAAAACAAGTCACTCAACATCAGGAAACATACTTGAAGCTACACTCTCTTCATAATTAGGTCTGACATTAATGGGTTCAAAATGTGAATGCCACGTTGCATTTACAAATGGATTACCTCTCTGCGCCGCAACCATTTCATCATATGGGAGATTATAATCACCACTTCCAATCACAGAACTACTTCCAATGGTATTGTACGCACCAGTAACAGAATTTGGGTCCGTTTGGTCAACATTAACTGAGTTTAATAAAGCCCAGTTATCATCATCTTCCTCAAAAATTGTTCGCGTGGTGGAAGCTATGGTATTTACTCTGCTGAATTGTTCTGGCATTGCGAATCGTGAAATATTATTTTCCGTATGGTCTTCAGACGAATTTCCCTCGTCGCTTTTTGAAGTCGATAACATCGATGGAGAATATTCATAGCTTGAAGTGTGAACTAAAGAACTACAAAAAAACAATAAATTAATTAAAATTATTTCTGAAAAGAAAAGCAGGAACTATTGCTCCCAAACTTTCTCGTACATTCAAATATAGCAATTAGGGGCGTGGCACTTTGAGTGCAATCGTGTAATATAAATGTTTTTTTTTTCATTTTTTTAACACGTAATTTTTTATTTTTTAAATAAAATAGTAGAAATAAACCGGGAGTGATCTCCCCTAAACTTTCTCTAGATTCTAATATAACACTATGGGGGATGGCAACTCGGGATATAGACTTTTAGACATAATTTTTATTCCATTTTAATTACTCAAATTTTTAAAAATAGAATATAATCTCGTAGTAAAAAGAAATGCACACCAAGTGAACGCTAAATAAAGATGTGCATAATAGTGCGCAATCTTATTAGTACTTTATAAATTTACATGCGTTTTTTGAGAAATCGGAAATAGCGTAAATAAGTACTTCAGGTCAACGGAAATTACTCAAAATTTGACAGAAGGTAGAGAATTAGATCTTTTACTTACATATTAAATTTCATTTATCTATCTGAAATAGTACTCAAGTTATAGGCTTTTGAAAAGTTCAAAGTAGAAAAAGTACCACTTCCGGTCATCTGAAATCGCTCAAAAGTTGATACGGGTCTACGATTTTGATAACATACTTATTTATGTAATTTCATCAACCTAGCTGTAACGGTACTCAAGCAATCGTATTTACACACACACAGACACACAGACACACAGACACACAGACATACGGACAAGATTGCAAAATTATGTTTTTCCGTATCAGTGAGATGTAAAACGTCGAGATCTGCAAAAATCTCGAATTTTTTTTGCACGATTAAAAGACTTTCTGTATACTTCGTATATACGAGAAAGTAAAAAACATGAACGTAAACAATGCGTTTTAATTGAGAGGGATATTAGTACGTTATTAACAAAACATGTATTAATTTTTTTTTAAAAACAGTTACACTTCTATTTAAGTCACATTTTATTTCACAGTTCATTGTCATTGAGTCTTTAAAAAAGTAAAGATTCATCTTTAGACCTTATGATCCATTTGTCGAATGAAGTGGAGTTCATATGTTTCTTGACATCGCCATATAAAGGGATAATATGGTCAGCACTATCCCCAGCCACTATTACCTTCCCTAACACGAGTTAGGTACCCATCAGAGCTGGGTGAACTCAGGCACTAACTTGAATTTCAACTCGATACTATCGGATTAATAGTCTAGTGATCCACCGCTAGGCCACGCCGTCCCATCATCGAGTCAAACCCATGTGAAAAGTTTGAAATAAAACGGTCCAGTGGATGTTATATATTTTTGAAAACGGAAAACACCATAAAGTACTACTTCCGATCTCATAAAATTACTCCAAAGTTAACGGAACCAACAAAAAATGATAGTATACCTATGTATTGTTAACCTTTTGTGAAATTGTACTATCATCATTTTACAAACAATCGGAAATATAGTAAAATACAACTTCCGGTAATCTGAGGGCTGTCAAACATTTACAATAATTTAAGTATAAGATCTATTACTTATATATAAAAGCTCTTTTGCCTAACTCAAACAGTACTCATGTTACAGTGAGTACACGGAGATAGAGTAAACAACTTCCGGTTACCGGAAATCGTTCAAAAATTGATAGAATACTGCACATGCAATGTAATATATAGAGTTAGGAGTTTCGTCCAACTAGCTTTAGCAGCGTTCTAGTTATTTATTTTTTAGGCACCGGAAGAAATGTATGCATCACATTCTTTACAGGAAATCGCTCAAAAGTTAAAAGATACCTAAAAATATTACTAAATATATTACTAATTTATAAAATTTTGTCAACATAAATGAAATGGTATTCAAGTTATCGTGTTTACAGACACAGATAAATTTGTAAAACCGGAAAGTTTGTCAAAAGTTCTATTAAGATATCTTGCACGACTACAATCCTTTGTGTTCTATTTATGATAATGTAAGGAGGTTTAAAACGGAGAAAACTGTCCGAATTTATGTTAATTATCAAGCACGATTACAAAGTTTAGTTAAAAAAATTTAAATCTATTTTCCGGTACAATTTAGTAATAGGATACCATAATAAGAAGTTATACATTTAGCTTTACCTCATAAAGTCTGATAGTGTAGGTCTTAGTTTTGGATTTACATCAAGTGCCCGTTTTATCAAGTCAAACAAGTTGCGAGGCATACCGTCTGGAACATTTTCTAATGCAGTATCTATTTCATTCTCCTGGCAAATTAATATAAATTTAAAATTAGTTGACTGTTAATGAATTTATTATTTCTTTTATTTATATATGTTATCACAGGTTTTCTAAATTAAAATTAAAATAATGAATAAAATAAGATGTATATACTACCAATACATCGGCATGTGTTTCCATATCTCGTTGCTTTTCAAAAACCTCTATTTTATCTGCACCACGTACAGAAGTGATAGCGAAGTAGGCATCTAAAACCATAAGGGCGAAACCGTATATATCGCTTGCCTTCGATTGTATGCCCTGATCTCTCCATTCTGGCGCTGCTCTAAAATATATATCGCTAAAAATATAAGCGTCAGCTTTATCAGACGATGTATTAAAATTTCGGTAATTTGACACCAATTCAGCCATTCAATGTTCAGAAAAAATTTACTCTAACTGGATTTGATGTGTATTTCACAACGCCATATTGATTGTTAAGGGACGGAGTGGTCTAGCGGTAGAGAGCTGGACTGATAACCCGTAAGTCTCGAGCTCTTATCCGGGTTCAAGTCAGTAGACTCTCTGAGTCTACCAACACTAATGGGTACCTAACTCTTGTTAGGAAAAGTAAAGGCGTCTGTGCATAGTGCTGACCACACTATCTCTTCATATGGGTTTGAAAAAAAAAAAAAAAAAAAAAAAAAAAAAAAAAAAAAAAAAAAGAAGGTTTGAAAGGGAACTTTTTTTTACTTTCATATTGATTGTGGGGTTGTATGGAATATACACAACGACTATTTATCAGATAAAAAATTGAAGAAAAACTATAAATTCTAAATTCTAAATTCGTATATCATACTACAACTTCATTTATATTATTGCTTATGTAATTTTGTTTTATCTTTTAAAATATCGCTTAAGTTTATACACTTTCGTCTCACAAAGATATAAAAATTTAAAGAAATCTAGAAATTTTTTTCTAAATTTCCAGTTTAAATGGCATTTATTAATCAAAAGATACTAAAGCAACCATTATCTGTTATGTATAAAAGTGTGTGTTTTGATTTGTTAAAAGATACTTATTGATGGATTTAATGCCCATTTTCTAATACCTTGTCTTTATTAGTTGGATATTCTATCTTTCTGTCTCAAACGTGTATATATATATATATATATATATATATATATATATATATATATATATATATATATATACATGTGTGTGTCTTAATTATTTCAAATAGTTTTCTTAATACACAATTCAAATATTGCACGATTTGGTAAATCTTCTCTTTGTTCGAAATTACTAAAAATTTAACAGAAGGTAGAGAATTAGATCTTTTACTTACATGTGAAATTTCATTTATCTCTCTGACATACTATTCAAGTTATAGGCCTTTTAAAAATTCAAAGTAGGAAAAGTACCACTTTCGGTTATCGGAAATCGCTCAAAAGTTGATACAGATCTACGATTTTGATAAAATACTTGTATATGAAATTTCATCAACCTAGCTGTAACGGTACTCAAGTAATCGTGTTTACACACACACAGACACACAGACACCCAGACATACGGACAGGATTGCAAAGCCCAGTTTTTCAGAATGGATTACGCATAAAACCTCTTTATTTTGATAAATCTGGATTGATAATTTTTTGCCCGATTAAAATAAGTCATCTATACTTCGGATGTGATGAAGGACTGAGGTGTAATACGGTGAAAATTGTTAAAATTTCAAGAGATTTTTTTGCACGATTACAATACTTTCTCTATACTTCGTATATACGAGAACGTAAGAAGACACGTAAATAAAGAAACTATTTTGTGAATGTGATTCTATGATTATATACATTGCTTCAAAATAAAACAAACCAAAACGTCAATATACCTTCTGTAGCACACTGTTTTAGATGGAATTTTTGTCACAATTTGACATTGATTTTTTCCAAGGTAATTTAGATACGCCAAAGACACCGGTCTAATCTGAATAACATGAAAGATTTGTGTTGCTTCAAAGAAATCATTTTTAAATAATATGTATTGAAATTATGAAGTATTACCCTTGAAAATAGTTCGAATACAATAAATGTTAAAACTTACTTTTGTTCCTGAATCATCGCTAAGCTCAACAAACAACTGCGATGCCCTGATGTCTCCAAGTACAAAATTTTCTGCGTGAAGCTTTTCAAGCATTGCGGCTGCTTTCAGCAAAAAATTATTACAAACCTCACTGCTACCTCCAAACTCTTTGTTTAATAATATCTCGAGCAAATTCCCTTTTAGATTGTATGCAATATTGACATCCTGCTCATAAATAATAGTTCATTATATAAATACAATCAGATGCATATTCGAAACTATTTCTAATATACCATAATATACCATAATCTTGGTGAATTTAAAATCTAAACATAATACATATATAAATATAAAGCTTTTAAACATGATTTTTTCATTGCATCTTTTAACTTTGTATTTCGCCATTGTTATCAATCGAAACAATGTGCAAAATACTTAAAATTATACAATGTACAACAACATATGATTACAAAGTATAACCTTTACTTACAATCATATACCGTTGTGGATTTATCTGTCGAATGACTAGTGAAGGGATAATCATGTCCAATGCTCCAGTTCTATGTTGCTCTAAAAACTCCTTGGAAAACTTCCGGTAACAAGTCTGGCGCACAACAAATGCTTTTCCCTGTTCAATCAAGACCATATGTTTGATCAACTGCTTTAAACAGAAACGGCTAAATATGTAATATGTAATATGTGTAATTTTTAATGATAGTAGATATGTATTGTGTTAAATCTAATAAGACATGTTTACACACGTACACGAAAATATATACTTATAAATAACCATTAATTTCTATGTGCATTAAAAAATGAACTATTGTTTTAGTATTACACAATTACACAATTTAGAATTACACAATTCTAGACTATTAGATTATTAAAAGCAAACTCTTAAATAATAAATGTTGTTGCTGTTACAAGTTAACAAGTTAAATATGTTTTTAATTACCACTCTACATAGATACAGTTTTTCTGACATCTTCCTTGAATACTTTAGTGGTAGCGGTCGTACACATGGAACTAAACAGAAAATGTATTATATATATTAACGTAATTGAATATCCATTTGAATTATTAACAATGTGCCTCTAACAATTGCACATGAAAACAAATAATAAAAAGACAATCACGATTTTGTAATGGATACACAATGAGCGATTAAACTAGTTAACACGCTTAAATTTGTGTAAATGTTTATTTTTTACATAAATAACTTGCATATGTCATTATCCTTTTTTCCATTCGCTAGAACACGTGTCAATGTAGAAGTCTCTCTTCTTTTTTTTTTTTTAAAGTAAGTTTGTGCTTATTATGAATTGTTTTTCAAATATGTTGCGTTGAACTTTAAAAACAAATGAATTTAAAAAATCGCTACTTACGGACATTATTTTGGCGAACCTGCAAAGAATAATTAGAGCTGGTTTAATAAAGCATAAACATGTTTTTAAAAGAATGTAAGAATTTAGAATTATTATTTTTAATATTTACTTGTTTGCAGTTGGTCGCTGGTTGTCTATCGCCATTTTGGAGATTGGGATAACAAAATGCACGCTGAAGTGATTGCTGTTTAATTTCTATTCATAACGAGAAAGAAATACCGTTTAATATTGGGTATCAATATTGTGCGTATCATTTCCCACACAATGTTTAACATAACTATTTAAATATCGGTTTTAAATATTAAATAGTTTTCTTATCATTTTCTTTAAACAATTACTTTTACGTTTAAAGTGTAATCTTAGCTTACAGCTGATTCCAGATAATCAAAGTATTATGTATTTTGTACTTTAGTGCACCTTTACAACTTAAATGAAGCTAACTTAAATACAAATGTATCAAGAGACTTTTGGTTTGCAAAAGTTCTTTCACATTTACCGATAGTAGCCCTTTATTTGGACAGTTACCTATAATCAGCTTTTTTATCTCTTCAATCACATCATACATTGTTGGGCGATCATTCGGATCAAAAGCCGTGCATTTAGAAATGAACTTGTATTGCTTGTCAGTAAAGCAAGGCTCGTGATGCAATCGAATATTAAAGCTGCAGATCTGTCGTTGAACCAAAAATAGATTAAAACATAATTTTATTTTAATTTTTATTTATAAATGCATTTCTATTTTAGAAATTATGTACATGATACTAATAACATTAGATTAAATATTTTTGACTTTAACTAGTAAAGGTATTTTGTAAATGTATTTTGGTCCCAAATAATGTATCATTCTTTTTTAAATACCATATTTTTTTTTTAATATTGATCAACAAAATACCTCCAAAACACAATTTGTATCGTCCAACTTTAAGTTAGAGTAAGGCAGGGCTCCGTGGGTTAAAATCTCATAAGCCAGATGCCCAAACATCCAAACATCAGAAGCTTTGGAAAACTTGGATCTTCTGTGGGATTCTGGTGAAGTCCATCTCACTGGCAGGTAGCTCTTCAATTCTATTGTTATTAAGTTACTTGTAAAGTTTATTGTTTTTAAAATAAAATAAAAAACTACATACATATTTCAAATATCCTTTCACTTTTTTGAAAAATGCATGTTAAAAAAACAAGTTAATAATGGTTTAAAAACTATATTGACGACCGTATAAAAAAACAATTTAATTAACATGATTATACATAAAATACAAAACTAATCATAAATTAAACATTAAACATGATCAATTCAAATAGTATTACCGTCATTACAACGACACATTGTCAGTACACACAGACAAGTGAAGATGACAAATAACACTAAAAAATAGTGTACCAGTATTTCAAAGAAAATTATCTAGATTAAATATTTTTTTTTTAAATCTTGATATTAACTATTATTCTTTTTACTTTCTCGTATATACGAAGTATAGAGAAAGTCTGGTAATCGTGCAAAAAAAAAAAATCGAGATTTTTACAAATCTCGACGTTTTACACCTCACTGATACGGAAAAACATATTTTTGCAATCTTGTCCGTATGTCTGTGTGTCTGTCTGTCTGTGTGTGTATGTGTATGTCCGTGTGTAAACACTATTACTTGAGTACCGTTACAGCTAGGTTGATGAAATGTCATATATAAGTATTTTATCAAAATCGTAGAAACGTATTAACTTTTGAGCGATTTCCGATAACCGGAAGTGGTACATTTCCTACTTTGAATTTTTCAAAAGCCTATAACTTGAGTACTATTTCAGATAGATAAATAAAATTTCACATGTTAGTATACGATCTAATTCTCTACCTTCTGTTAAATTTTAAGTAATTTCCGTTGAACGGAAGTAGTAATTTACGCTACTTCCGATTTCTCAAAAAACTAATGTAAATTTTTAAAGTACTAATAATAGTGCGCACTATTATGCACTTTTTTATTTGGCGTTCACTTGGTGTGCAATCCTTTTGTCTACGAGATTTTATTCTATTTTTAATACTTTAAGTATTTAAAATGGATTAAAAATCATGTCTATAGCCCGAGTTCCCATCCCCTGTTTTTTTTTATATAAGAATATTCGAGAAAGTTTAGGGGAGATCACTCCAGCTTCGATATTACCACCTTGAGCAATTACCCATCGTACAGTTATGGATAAGTTAGGACTAGGGTTAGGTTAGGGTTAAGGCTAGTTTTAGAGTTAAATGCTGATTTAGAGTTGGAGTTAGGGGTTTTGTTAGGGTTAGCTGTAGGCTTGGAGTTTGGGGTTAAGATCAGGGGTCTTCAGCATCTGTGGGGGGGGGGGGGGAATTGGACGGGGTGGTAATGTCCTAGACCCGAAGCTGACACATTTCATTATCATCAATAGAACTAGACTTGCCCAAAACATGAAAAACCAAACGTTTTTTGTGATAAATGAAAATAGAGAATTGAGCAAGATATTATTTTCAACTAGAGGCTTCTGAAAACACAGTTTTCAATAAAAGTTATTGACTATGGTTATAGGAAATTGACAATAGATGTTGGTTGAAATGAAGATTCTTATGATTTTAGGCAATTAAATCCATGTTTCATACATTGATGATTTGTTTTCAAGATAATGATTTGGATTAAAAAAAGCCATTGATACCTATATTTGACAAGAATTCAACGCTGGCTACAATGCAAAACCAAGCTTGAATATAGGCAAATGTTAGCGAGAGCTCAGATTTAGGGATTACATCAAAGAGATATCACCTCAAGACCTGTTCGTTGAGGAAAGAATTTCACTTCAACCCCACCAGAAGTTGATAAATCAAAGGAAGAAAAACGCAGGAGTTATGCACAATGTGTAACAGAAAAGATTGAGAAAAGAGCGGACAATATGTATTATATCTGCCATGTTCGTGTATGTTATATAACATCACGTAACCGCTTCCATAAGCTCCATTCATAGATGACTATACACTCATAAAGGACATAAATGTGTTCTCAATACTGCTATTTTCAATTTCTAATATACCAGAACAACTAACATACGTTAGATCAATTTTAGAATAAACATATTGACATAACTCACAACGTAACCTCTTTTCGATAACTTTCCTTTGAGGACCGTAGGGACACATATGTCCCGTGCTGTATCTCAAAAACTATTTAAGATATCGGAAAACCATTAACATTTTTAAATCTACGTGTCATTTTACTACTAAATGTGTGCACATATATTTGAAATTATGCCTGTAATCCTGGTGGTCCTGAAAGGGTTAAGACCACAGTTTTTCTTTTACGTATTTATTTCAAATAGTAAATCAATTTCAAATGTATGATTCCACCTGTGAGATAATCAATTAAAATGAAAGTATAGATAATATTATAAATATTTACTTACCTGTAGTTATTACTGATTCCTGTTTAATAGCATGAGCTAAATGGAAACTAGCTAACTTTACTTTCTCTGATTTTAGCAATAAAACACTGGCAGCAGTAATGTTTCTATGAATTATGCCCGTTGAATGACAATATGCCAAGGCTTCACCCACATTAAGTAACATTGACATGAGCATAAAGGGTCTACAATAGCTGCTGTTCTTGTTTTTGTTTACCAAATATTCCTTTAATTAAAAAAAAATGTAGAAATTAATATTACAGTAATAAAAAAAGAACACTATTTAGTATTTTTTTTAAAAAGTTGTTGCTTTAAGTAAATAATTTATTATTTATTTAACGCTTATATATAATTGTTAAACTGCGAAAGAGTATGCTTAGGCATTCCATATAATTTCTTTATCAGTATCTGTAAATCGTATTTTTATTCACAGACTAAGAAGTCCATTTAAAATACTAAGTTTCCTAAACGTGACATGGGAAGGCCGTCGATTTGCGATATGTTACTAGTTGTTTTTTATTTACATGTGCAGGATAATGCTTTCAATGATAAGGGCAAGAATTCCAAAAAAATATATTTTATGACACATTATTGTTTTAAATTTTTTTGACCACGGAATGCATAATGTTGGTCCTGCTTCTAAAACTCAGTATGGAAAAAATTTAGATAAGGTTTACACAAAAACAAAACTAAATATATTTTAATACATATTGCAAATATTAAGTAATGCAACACTGAAACAGAATTTACTCACTCCTCTTTACAACAATTTTATAGAATACTACAGCTTATATTCGACAACCAAGCATGACCGTCGAACGCACAAACCACGATTCTACTCAGTACTACAACAATTTTGACATTTCTAAAAATTTTACCGAAGCCATATATAAGAGAGAATCCTATTTCATTTCCAATAGAAACGATAGGTAGGATTTACATTGTGTTTGATGTATGCATCCAATTAGCAGAATAAATTGTAAAACTTTTAGGAAAAAAGAAACGGAGGTGAAAAAAAAAAAGGGTGTAATTAACATAGCACATGGAACTGCTACATAGAATCTAACGTAGTGTAAAATAATTATAAACCAAAGCTAATAATTTCATGTACTAGCATATATGCATATTTTCTAATTAAAAAAAGATTCTTTTGATTTATCTTATCTACAAAACAGCATACTAAGTAGTTTATAACTTATTTTTTTTACTCTCCTGTAATCGGAGTTTTTTAAACGAGCAAAAATTAAAATCTTGAATTTTTACTTTGTTTCTATTTGTTTGTGTGTGTGTACGTTTATGTGTGTGTGTATGTGTGTGTGTGTGTGTGTGATTACAGACGAAACTGCAAAACAAAGATTTTTTTTACGAATTCAGAAGGATGTAAAACGTCACAATTTGTCAAAATCTCGATTTAGATCTTTTGAAAAATTACAATTCATTCTTCATCTTCAGTATACAATAAAGTAGTGACAAGAAAACGGCAAATATTTTCGCAATATATTTTAGCTACTCATCACAATTACAGTACTTCATGTATACTCTGTAACGACAAAGTAAAAATACGTTATCCCATATATTTCACAAATATATATATATATATATATATATATATATATATATATATATATATATATATATATATATATATATATATATATATATATACATAAGTATTGAATGTCGTTTCATTCGATAGAAGGACTTTGTAGCATACAGGCTTCGGGTAAAATGTGTACCTAATAACATTTGGTGGTATACAAATAGAATATATATATATATATATATATATATATATATATATATATATATATATATATATATATACATATATATATATGTGTGTGTGTGTATGTATACATACTTGTAATGTAGTTTTCTCAAGGTTATTGAATCTACAGTCCTCTAGAATGAAAAACTGTGGAAGTACGTCAATTTGCCAAGCCAACAAAGTAATGATGTTTGGGTGATCAAGTTTCCTAAGCTTGTCAATTTGATTCTTGTTTAGCAGGGCGCCAGAATCAATAGGCTTTGACTTGTCAAAATTTCCATGCGCTATTTTGTCAAGGATATTTATATAGATCAATGCAGGATAGCCATAGTATTTACCAGAGATAGATCTCCAACCATTTTCCATATTTTTCTCCAACTGTAAATTTTAAATTATAAATATTATATTTTATCTAAAAACAAACAACACACATTTTAAAATGCAATAACATTGTCAGTTTAATTAATTATTATTCAATAGTTTAATTTAGTACATACTAGTTTAAATTTGTCAGCAATATACAGCACTGGATACAAAATGTGATTCAGCTGATAAACATATTGTTCAAGTATTTTTTCGCTGTTATTGCCAAAGAACAGAAAATTAGCTGTAACAATCTGCCTTAGGCGTGGAGCTGGATCAAATATCAAAGGCATCAAGCAAGAAAAATCCTGAGAAAATGTTTAAATTTTGTAGTTTTTATAAATAAATGTAAAACGTTTTGTAAAGTTAAAATGTTTAAGCTTTATACAATCTTAACTAGCTTTAAAATATTTTATTGATCTATCTATCTATCTATATATATATATATATATATATATATATATATATATATATATATATACATATATATATATATATATATATATATATATACATATATATATATATATATATATATATATATATATATATATATATGTATAATTACCTCTTCATTTTTAACTAGTCTGTAGAGATCACACATACTTTTTATTATGTTTACAACTTCTAAATAAAGAACTGAGATATCTGTGTGTGAATGTTCACCTGGAAAATTAAAAAAAATATCATTCCAGTAATTAAAAAGCAAAGCTCTATTGCAAAATAATCAAAGATTTAAAAGCTTTTTTTTTTTTCAATAATTTAAACTTATTGTGTATTCAATCACTTAAACGAAAATGTACTTACGAACGAGAAATCCTAAAAAGTGTCCAAGTCCACGAAATATTAAATCAATACACAAACTTGTAGGCCTATTGTCATCAAAATATTTTTTAGATCTTTTCTGCAAGGCCGTCACATAAAACTGTAGAAATTTTAACTCCAGACATTCCGAAACTTTGTTTATAAAAATCTAAAAAAAGAAAACAATTTTGCTTTATAAAGTTTGTTTAATTATAGTAAACGACCCAAATTAAAAAATAAAACCCTCCCCTACCCTCACTAAATTTTCCAAATCTTTCTACACTAAAGTAGAACATAATTGAACATTGAAGCAAAAAACATGTAAAAAGAAAAACAATTTCTTCTTTACCTAAATATATATAGCTTAATGGGGTCTAGTTGATTGAAGGGTAACCGTGTGAAATATTTTTTTAAATATGTAAACTCAGTATAGTGAAACAAAATTGTAAAACATATCATTACTTCTTTGTGATTTTTTAAATGAAAATATCATTATAAATCATATTTGTAATGTAGAATATATTTTAATTATGATTTTATTCTAAGTTTAGGATTTCTATTTTGTTATTCGTGTGCGATGTTTTTAAACTGGTGCAAAAAGTAATACAATTATTTCGATTTTTTTTTAAATGACGCAATTAAAATCCAAAATCTTTTCACACAATTTTAATTACCAACTATAAAATAGATTTCACTGACCCATATTTCCGTACATAAATATATTCCTCACAAAAGAAAAACAAATGCAAACACAAACGCAAACGCAAACACAATCTCTTAATCATATGGCTTTATCAAACACACGGCCTTGTATTCCAAAAATAATGCTTTCACGGACGTCCGCGAAAATTGCATTCACATTTTTTATTAAAATGTTTTACCTTATTTAAACAGCTCATTATAACGAGAAAATGATGAGGTTCACTTTTTTTTAGTAACTCCGACATTTTCTTTGGTAACTGTTTAGTAGTAAGATTCCACGAAGAGAAGTCCTTTAGAGTCTGCAGCAAATCTTGTAACGGGACCATAAAAAATATTTCCAACATGGATTGATACGGGCTTGTGCTTTCAAAGTGTCGATACGATGTCAAGATCGAACTGTGAACATTTAAAATTTGGTATTCTTAATGAGAAAGAAGAAAATTACATTCTAACTACAAGTTTAAATTTAGTTATTAAAAAATTATTAGTATGTATTTTATAGACATTTTCATAAGGAGATATGTGACGTTTTTTTTCTTTTTTTTTTACAATTTACAATAATGAGAAAGAAGAAAACTACCTTCTAACTAGAAGTATAAATTTAGTTACTAAAGAATAATTGTCATCTATTTTATAGACATTTTCTAAAGGGGATTTGTGCCGTTATTTTCGTTTTTTATATTTCAATTTAATATCTACAGCCTTTTGAAAGCTATAACCATGTTTGGCACGTGAAATGTAGTACTAAACAGCAAAAACAAAGGCTGTTTTATTTATGCACTGATATCAATCAAATTTAAACTGCTTATATTTCAGTATATATTAAAACTTTGTCACGACTACTTTTTGAACCAGCTAAAAGTAAGAATTTTATAAGGTCTAAAAAATCGTACCATTTTTAGTATTCAAAGTTTCAAAATGTGCATGTTATTTTCCGTATACTTTTTTCAATAAAAGCTATCACAATTCCATCGTGAAAAAAGTTTTTTTTTTTTTTGCATGAAGAACAATTACCGAAAATATGGTGGGCATTGTTTAATAAATAAAAAGTAGTATGATTGTTAGTGTTAAAAACTGAGAAAACGGCCTAATGTAACGAAAAGAAGGTCTCCAAATACTGCAAAGCCGATTGTAAGCTATGGGTGTTTCCGAGATAATGGAAATAAGATTATCAAATATATGAGAACTTTAGCTGTCCAATGATGCTAAATACAATATGATGACGGATATAAAACTTTTCATAGAGAACTTGTAAATTTTGGATAATTTGATTATTTTTTTCATTAATAGGGTAATAAAAATGATATTTTAGACACGTACGACTTTGTTTTTCTTATTAAAAATGCTATTTTTTTTTAAATACGAAAACGGACACATTATCCAAAAGTGCAAGAAACCCATTACTTCGAAAAACCAGAAATTTGGTGATTTTTTACGGGGCGTATCCCCTTATCGCACTACGTATTTTTTCTTTATTTTTCTGGCAAATCTAAGAACTCGACTTTCAACAACATCTAAAGCAGTGAATTCGTTTTAACTTTCGAGATACTTCAGAAAAAAAGTTTTTATTTCAAATCTAAATAGATATTAAAAAGTAAAGAAAATTCTTTAAACCAAGCAATCCTTTGGGCAGAAGAAGTAGAGGTTGATTAGTTTGTTGACCTCGGCATACGAAGTGATAGTTAGGTTAGAATGAAGCCCAGCATTCTATATTTTCCCTATTGTGCGTCAGGTACCCACATTTAGATATTAAGACTATAAATTAAACATAGTTACCTCGCTTCATTATAAAAAGACTGGCACAGTTTAGCAGCATCACTGTTTGTGCATGCCATTGCCATCCGACTTAAAAGCATTGCAACTACTATACTGTGATTTTGAATCCTACTTATTTTGATGGCTTCCTGGGACTGCTCATATCTGCTTATTTTGAATAATGATATAAAAAGTATGAATAAAATTAAAAACGCAGAGCCAATTATTTAGTGCATAAATTATGTGTGAGTAATAGCCAAAATGGTATACAAAAAGGTAATAATAGTGATATATAAAATAGTGATAGATAATTTGGTAGAAAATATGAAAATAAAAGAAAATGCACCTTTCTCTTAGAATCGTCTGCAGCAACATTGTTAGCAAAGTACCCTTTGGGAAAAAAATGTATAAGTCAATATTTTTAATATATGTAATGGTGTGTTGCAACGGCGTCATTAGGTTTGTATTCACCTGGTAACATATTTTTCCCCTATTGTTTTTATATATTTTACTGGATACAACATTGTTTTGACGGTACATTTTATGATTGTTTTGATTATCTGTTATCCCCAAAACTGTTTCAACCGGACAGAGCTCCCCCCTCCCCCAGCAACACCCAGTCCTGTGATTGTAGTGTTGAAAAAGTTTATAAGCGCATAACCATTAAACAAAATAATATAATCACAATATGCTACCACTTTATTAAACTAATTTTTTTCTGTTTGGTAAATCGACGTAGCAAATATAAAATGAAGTGCAAATAAAACACTTGATTTTAAAAAGTTTCTATGTAGACTTGTCTACATTAAAATGCTCACCAATGATTGTACATCAAAAGGACTGTTAAAGAACTCTTCCTTAAGCATTAGAATTTCCGCAAATGATTTTGCTTGTGATTTTAAAAATACATTTTCACACATAGATATATGCACTAGACTTGAAATACAGCTCTTTGCATACAGTTTTGGAATAATCTGAAAACAAACGATTAAATATAGCATTTTCAGGTAATTTATTTTTCTTAAAACTATATATATATATATATATATATATATATATATATATATATATATATATATATATATATATATATATATATATTTATATTTATATATTTATATATTTATATATTTATATATTTATATATTTATATATTTATATATTTATATATTTATATATTTATATATTTATATATTTATATATTTATATATTTATATATTTATATATTTATATATTTATATATTTATATATTTATATATTTATATATTTATATATTTATATATTTATATATTTATATATTTATATATATATATTTATTTATATATATATTTATATATATATATATATATATATATATATATATATATATATATATGTATATAATTTTTTAGTTATGTTAATACCTTTCTTGAGAGAATATATATATTTATATCAAGACTGTTCTTCTGTAAAACCATTTGGTCTACACCTTTTTTCAGCTCCTCAAATGTTGCGAATGTTCCGTCTAAAATAATATTGAATTTTAAGAATAGAAATCAATATCGTATAGCAGTTTTTGTTTTTGTTTTTTGCTTTTGTAAATTTACATACCCTGCTTCAGATGAAAGATTTATATTTTTAGAAACCAAACTTTCACATAAAATGTATGTCTGATTGTGGTTGTGACATAAGCACAGTAATAGAATGCATCTCAAATTAGAAATTATTTTGTTTCCAATACTAAATTCTTAAGAAGATGATAAAATTATCTTTGTATTCAAAATACGTATCTAGAAATGGCGTAAACTATCTTATGTTTTTATAAATAGCATGTGAACGAATAAACATAGTATTTACAGAAGGCTACCGATGCCTTATATTATAAAATAAACATAAAGTTACGGTTAAAGTTTGATATTAATATAACAAAATATACCGTGAAACTTTTGTTTTTTTACATATATTTCGAGCAGCAAATTTATTTTTTAAAATCACTAATTATTAACGTCATTTTAACTGAAAATTTATATCTAATTCCCTAAACAATAATTTACGAAACCCCGCTACGTATTGGTCAAATAATATGTAGTAGGAGGCAGCATTTATTGAACACAGTTCTAAACATCAAACAGAAAAAAGTGAGTAAAGATTTTTTATAAGATTTACATCGATTGGCCATGTACAAAGACTATCGTAAAACAATTTAGTACAAAATACTTCAGCTTTAATGCATTAGTTGCAAACCTACAGCTATTTTTTTTGAATTCGGATATGTTGTCTGACATACAACATAATATAATCCTTAACAAAAAGGAATTTGCTGATTTTTTTTTTAAATTAAAAGGAACAGTGAGTAAACGAAATAGTTATAAATATAATAAAGGCTAATGATTATAAAATCTATAATAATAGTTTCGCTGTCTGTCTATCTATCTATCTATCTATCTATCTATCTATCTATCTGTCTGACAAGAACGCTCTAGAGAAAACACAAGCAATTTAAAAACATGCACAGTAATTCGAAAAACGAAATATGACGTCGACACATTTAGCGTAGAGTAGAACATAATCTCAAACCAGAGAGTGCACACAGTAATGTAATGACGTCATTGATTCTAGCGTAAACATTGAAAAAAAGGAAATGTTGTCTAATCTAAATGGTTTGCGTGAAGAGTTTCTTGCATACAATTCTTCGGGTAGGGGCGAAGCCCCACCCCCCGCGTAAGAACGTCTGAGCCCCCCCCCCCCCCCCCTCCCCAACTCAAAAGAAATTTCCTCATCGATACTCTATAATAAAATTACCGCCTAATTAATGTGTCTAATCTAAAAAGTGGTTTTCTTGCTATGGGACGGTAGACATGTTTTTTTTTGGGGGGTGGGGGGGGGGGGGGGTGGGGGGGGGGGGGGGTTGTGGGGGGGTGGGGTGGGGAGGGGGGGTGGGGGTGGTGTGTGGGGGGGGGTGGGTTGGTTTCAGTGTTTCTTTCAGACTTTTTCCTCCCCGGAGAGGGGAGGGGTACTTGAAATTTTCGGGGGCGGGGGTAGAATTTTCTGGGAGGGGGCGGACACTGGAAAAAGTATATAATTATGTTTCGTTGAATGGGACGGTAGACATGTTTTTTTTTTGGGGTGGGGGGTGGTGGAGGGGTGGGGTGGGGGGTGGGGGTGGTGTGTGGGGGGGTGGGGGGTGGTGTGTGGGGGGTGGTGTGTGGGGGGTGGGTTGGTTTCAGTATTTCTTTCAGACTTTTTCCTCCCCAGAGAGGGGTGGGGGTACTTGAAATTTTCGGGGGCGGGGGTAGAATTTTCTGGGAGGGGGCGGACACTGGAAAAAGTATATAATTATATTTCGTTGAATGGGACGGTAGACATGTTTTTTTTTGGGGGGGTGAGGGGTGGGGGGGCGGTGTGTGGAGGGGGTGGTGTGTGGGGGTGAGGGGTGGGGGTGGTGTGTGGTGGGGGGTGGGGGTGGGGGTGGGGTGGGGGTGGTGTGTGGGGGGGGGTGGGTTGGTTTTAGTTTAGAGAAAAGAGACAGCACTATCAGCCTAGCGCCCGTTGTACCCTTCCTCAACGGGCCAATTTTCTCGTATATTAATAAATAAGGAGCCAATTTGTTTTAAGATTAATTATTAATTTTCTAGGATCATATAAATGTACTTGTAAGAGGGACCATTTACAAGTACATCACAGTTGCTACAATGTTGTTTAAATAGATTGACCAAACCATATATAATCATAAATCTAAACAAAGATAAGAAAAATGAAATTCGTCAACACACATATAATAATACGAAATTAACGATACGTATACAAACGCTTTATATTTTGAATAGATATTATGTTTACATGAAACAAGAATAATTGTATAATGTGTAATATCTTTTTTCGTTTGCTATAAGCGTTTATGAAATGTATAGAAAGTCAAACACTATAGTTCTATGCAAAACAAAAACCTAATCTGGTGTTTTTATATGTTTTTCAAAATACGCATTAAATCTGTACAACGATACTATAAAAAATGTAGGCCTACACGATGTGATACTCAGCTTTTCCAATAAGATGCTCAAGGAAACGATTTTAAATAATATTATAGTACTATTTATTCAGCAAGTGAAATACTTACATTTTAATAAGTTCTTGCAACCCTCTGGTGTAGCCAAATTTCTTGCAAATAGCAATGTGTTCGTATTTCCAAAATAATCCGGATAAGCAAGAAATTGACCTGAGCTATTTTGTAATTTTAAAGATTCTTTTTTCTTAAATCTTTCCAACTCAGCAAATAAACTTTCATCGGATGATTTTTTACTGTCCTGAGTTGTATCAGGACATTCTTCTTCTTGTTTGACGAAATTGTCTGAATTAATGCTTGTATTAGGAGAAGCAGTCGATCCATCAAATTTATTACTTTTTATTTTAACAACAAAATCTGAAATGTTTTCATCAGTTGTTATATTCATGCACGTGAAGCTAGAAAAGAAATTATCAAACTTTTCCTGATGTTTTTCATCCAGGGTTGTTGATAGTCCTTTTATTTGAACACAAATGATCTTTTGGTGTTTTAAAACATCTTTATTTGTTATCTAAAAATAAAGTGTAGCTCTTAGGTTTCTGAAAGTACAGTTGCTAAATACAATTTTAAAAATTTAGTTGCACTACTACTTTAAAATTTAATCACTATAATATACTTAGATTACGCCATGTATAAATTGAAACATTGATAGCTTAGAGGAAAAGAAAAATATATTTATTTTTAATAACATATAGCTGAATATTTTTATTTTTTTTACTCGGAGTATACTATTAACCGCAAAAGTAAACTTAGCAAATAATGTTTGCTTTGCCATTATTAAAGTGCTGTTAAAAAAGCTATTGCATTTGTTTAAACATTTAATTTTTACTTTCTCGTTTATACGAAGTATAGAGAAAGTCTTGTAATCGTGCAAAAAAAAAATGAGATTTTTGCAAATCTCGAATTTTTACACCTCACTGATACGGAAACACATAATTTTGCAATCTTGTCCGTATGTCTGTGTGTGTGTCTGTCTGTCTGTCTGTGTGTAAACACGATTACTTGAGTACCGTTACAGCTAGGTTGATGAAAAGTCATATATAAGTATTTTATCAAAATCGTAGATCTGTGTCAACTTTTGAGCGATTTCCGATAACCGGAAGTGGTACTTTTTCTACTTTGAATTTTTCAAAAGCCTATAATTTGAGTACTATTTCAGATAGATAAATGAAATTTCACAGGTAAGTAAAAGATCTAATTTTCTACCTTCTATCAAATTTTGAGTAATTTCCGTTTACCGGAAGTACTAATTTACGCTATTTCCGATTTTTCAAAAACGCATGTAAATTTATAAAGTACTAATAATATTGCGCACTATTATACACATCTTTATTCGGCGTTCGCTTGGTGCGCAGTTGTTTTTTTATGAGATTCTATTCTATTTTTAAAAGTTTAAGTATTTAAAATGGATTAAAAATAATCATAACTATATCCCCAGTTACCATCCCCTGTTGTTTTATATAAGAATATTCGAGAAAGTTTAGGGGAGATCACTACCGGTTTATTTTTTTATTTAACACGGAGCGCATGATAAATCCAAAAACAGAATTTCAGCTTATAAGTTTTTCTGGAAATACTCATTGTGTATTTATTTATTTTTTTAAACTCGCTTTTGAAAAAAAAAAACGTTTAAACAAATAATTGTAAGTGTTATAAGATTGTATAAGTAAACATTAGCAGATATATGTTATTATAGTTTTATGAACTGTATTGCAGTGTAACCTAAGCTAAATAAACACTTCCTTGTCAGCAAACATAGACTAACTTTATGCTCGAGTGCTTACGGTTAAACTTCCTAGTAGTATTCATGATCTCACGATTTGTTATGTAAGAAAAACATTACAGTCAGATGTTTAAATAACGTAATCCGAATCCATGCTCATTTAAATTGTAGACCAAGGCATATGTTGATAAATCCCTATGACACACAATGGTATTTAGTAAATATTCCCGAGTTGTGATACAAGTTATTGAGGGTTAACTCAGATGCAATGTTTTGAGTACCGAATACAAGAGCAAATATAAGTTACCTTCTGCCATAAACTGGGACATTTTAGTAGTACTGTTAGTTTTGAATTTTTAAAATTATCCTTGAATTGCTTAAAGAAAGGGCCGTCTGTAAGAAAAATAAAAAATGTAAACACTTGTTATTAGTTTAGGTATGTATTTTTAATTGATCAGTAGTAAGACTGTACTTAATCATTTCTGAGCACAATCCTAATATGTAAAACACCATGTGCACACTTCTCTCTCTCTGTCCGCAAAATATTGTCACAGTCTATCATATCAGTATCTTCAGATTGAGATCTTTAGATTTACTTATCGATACGTAATTTATGAAATTTATACAATTTCCTCGGCCTAAACTAATACAAATTACTTTAAAAAACAACATAGATACCACTGAAAAGCCGGGGTTTTAACGGAACCATTTAAGTCTTTTAATCATTGTGCATTTAATATGGTGTTGTGTTGACTAATTGTGTATAAAATTTGGTTTTATTTTTTCTAATAGGTACTAGTAGCCTATGTTATTTTAAATAAGTCGGACTTTTAGCTATTTAGTTATTTCTTTGCTTTGACACTAATATCCTTATACCTGTAATAAAGCACATTGCGTTTTGACGAATAACTATTTTATGAAATATTCTTCTAAAAATGTATAACATTAAAAATATATAGACCTATAATTCACGTGTAAGGGGTACCGACGGCTAGTAATTACGTAATATGAGAACTGATTAGCCAGGATTTTGTAGTATTTTATTTGTTTTGCTCTTTTCAGTAAAAGCCAGACAAGTAGCGTCTGACCAACAATTGTCTACCCCTTCTTAGTCAAGCAATCAACCTTTGGCGACCATCTTATTGAAAGATGGCAATCACTTAATCTTGTTATCTTTCGTATATTATTGAATATAATAATTTTAAATGAAATTGTATCACTAACCTAATTGCTAATTAGATTAAAAATAAATATTTATGCACTTTAGCCAAAGATATATTTTTTTTGAACAGTTTAAACTAAATTTTTGTCAGTTATTTTTTAAAATTATTTTAAATGTATCTACTGTTGGTCAATTTAAATTTATTTTCTACATTTAATTAGAAAACAATGTTTAGCCCATTAAAACATCTAATTATACTTTTTAACGAAAATGTCCAGATGCATATCCTTTATTGAAATTGTGATCTCCACAAGTCTAAAAATATAGTCTTTTATTAGGCCTATATTTATTTAAGTAATGTGTAAATGATATTCTACATGGTGTTAAATACTTACTCAGCGAATAACTAGCAATCATAAACTTCTCTTCAACAAGAACCGCTGCGAGTTTACGCAATCTTTCAAGACATTGATCATCTTCACATTCAGGAATGTTAAAGTCACTTGTCATTTTGAAATTGAACTTAAAAACAAAACAGTGTCACATTCATGTGCTATTATAGATAAATAATTTTGCTAATATATATATATATATATATATATATATATATATATATATATATATATATATATATATATATATATATATATATATATATATATATATATATATATACGTGAATGTTTGCTAGGCTAACCTAGCTAGTTTCGAGCAAGATATAACCTACACAAACTAGCCGCTACTCTACACAAATGACCTGAATTCTTTCATACGATAAACATGTTCTCTAGCCTAAGTGAATGGAAATTTAAACATATGGCATCGATTTATTTTCAATCAGCAAACACGGTTGCAATATACTTCCTTGTCCTTGCTTATTTCAGGAAATCTCTTGTCACATGTCTACAGGTATTCTTTGCGTTTGATCTTTGACAGAGAGTTCAAATTAAAATTTATCTTATTTTTTTGCAGTTTCCAAAGTTAGCTAAGCATTAGTAAATATGTGTTTGAAAACGTTTTGTTTTTTAACTACGCTAAGATTATTTATAACACAATATTGCTAAAAATACATTTTAAATCAGTCTTTAGTTTTATCATTTATTAACAAATATTCAGTCCTCGTTTAGCTATTAAAAAAAACAATGCAACTTTAAAATATTTTTGATAAAAATAATGTGTATGTAAATAATGATAATAGCATATTTCTAATGGGCACCTTCTATACATGACTTTACAAAATCGATTGCGATTGATTTTTTCATGTCGGTGGGGGGGTCTGGTAATAAAATATCTGTATTGTGAATATACGTGATCGATTACACTGGTAGGTTAGTTTGAATCTATCTCATTCATGTGTGAAGAGAATGATTGATTGTGCAGGATAAATAGGTCAAATTAAACATCAAATGGTTACACTACACACATATACAAATAAGCACAGACATACACAAACACACACTAACCATACATACATGTATAGATTTATACATTTATGAATATTCATAGGTTATATTTATAGTATAGGCTATAGGCCTATATATATATATATATATATATATATATATATATATATATATATATATATATATATATATATATATATATATATATATATATATATAAAGCAATGTATGTTTGTTTGTTTGTTTGTTTGTTTGTTTGTCCTTTATGCATTACTACACCTCTCATCACATCGCCGTGAAACTTTAGGAAGTTTTTGAGAATATTCCTGGGGAGGTTTCTGCGAAAAAAAATATTTCAAATTCGCAGGGGTGGCGCCCTGGCAGGGCGCGATTTGTTTTTCTCTATAAGCGGTATATAAAAATAAAAAGTCGATTTTGGTTTGACATCGTTCACCCGATAGCCATGAGACTTTGGGGAGTTCATTATAATACTCTAGGGAAGGGTTCTGTAAAAAATCATTTTTAATTTCACAAGGGCGGCGCCACAGGAGAGTGCGATTTTTCTCTATATACCGTATATAAAAATAATAAAAGTGAATTGCCGTGACACCATTTACACGATCGCCATGAAACTTTGGGAAGAAGTTGAATTTATTTCTTGGGGAGGTTTCTGCGCTAAAACATTTTCAAATTCGCAGGGGTGGCGCCCCGGCAGGGCGCGATTTTTTTTCTCTATATTCGATATATAAAAATAAAAGTCGATTGCGGTCTCGCAACGTTCATCCGATAGCCATCAAACTTTAGGGACTTGCTTAGAACACTCCAGGGAAGGGTTCTGTAAAAAATCATTTTTAAAATTCGCAAGGGTGGCGCCACGGTATAGTGGGATTTTTCTCAATAAACGGTATATAAAAATAAAAGACTATTGCGGTTCGACGCAATTTATCCCGGTGCCATAAAACTTTAGGGAGTTGATGAATACTCCCGAGAAGGTTTCTGGGGTGGGAGGGGAAAATAGGGGTATGTGGGTGGTGGGGGCGGGGGATTCAATTTTGCATGACCCCCCCCCCCCCCCCCCCCCGACATGATGCGATTTGGCG